TAGGGGCCCCCCGAGGTACCCTTTGAGGGCCCCCCAAGGTACCCTTTGGGGGCCCCCAGAGGGGCCCCAGTGGGTCCTGTTTGCTTCGCAGATTTTGCTTTTCTGTTTTATATAAGAAATAGAAAGTCTTAATGGGGGATTTCTTTTTATGTTTAGGGTTTAGGGTTTAGGGGTTAGGGTTTAGGAGTTAGGGTTTAGGGTTTGGGAGTTAGGGTTTAGGGTTTACGCACGGCAAAAACAAATCGGACGGCGGCTAACGCGAGGGCCTAGCACTCCGTGTGCAGAGGACTTCGCACCGCCAAGTCGGCATCTTCTTTTAGGGTTTAGGGTTTAGGGTTTAGGGTTTTGTGAGGTCTGGTGGGACTGCTGCTGCGTCGGCCGCTGCCCCACATGAGCAGTTGGGAGGGTGAAACTGCATGAATTTACACTTATTTGAATTTAAATTTAAAATTAAATTAAAATAAATTTAATTTAATTTAAACTTAATTTAATTTAACTTAATTTAAAGAGCCGAGGGGCCCCTGTGGGCTGGGCAACACTGGAGCTGCTGCAGCGCCGCGTGGAAGCTGTTTTCGGCTGCGGCTGCAGCACACACTGGGAAAAGGCTATTAAAATGAATTTTTTAAGAAATAAAAGGAAATTAAAGTTATAAAAGAACTATTTAAATGGAAAAATAGAAGAAAATGCTGCTAGAAATGGGCGCCAGCGCCCCCACAACGCAGCAGCAGCAGCAGCAGCAGCCGCAGCCGCGGCTTGCTGCTGTGCAAACTAGGCCGCTTCTGAGCTGCTGCTGCAGCTGCTGCTGCTCTTTGTTTTCTTTTTTCGCTTTCTTTGCTTCCATTTATATTTTAATTTAATCCATTTCTTCCAATTTGCTGCTGCTTTCCTCTGGGGCCCCCCGGAGAGCTCACTCGGGAGCGCCTACCCACCCCCACGGCTGCTGCTGCCGCTGCTGCTGCTGCTGCTGCTGCTGCTGCTCAGCAGCAGAAACTACGGAAGACACACCAGCAGCTGACTTTCTGTCGCTTTTCCTTTTTTACGGTAAGAGAAGAACTCTGTTTCTGTTTCGCTGCTGCTGCTGCTGCTGCTGCCTGTGTGCATGCGCTGTGTTGTTTCTTCGCAGATCTAATTTCTTTAAGTTGTGAAAATGAATAAGTTAAAATTGAATTTGTTGCATGCAAAAGAAACATCCTGTGGAATTCCTTTTGCTGCTGCTGGCAGCAGCAGTCTTGCTGCAGCTGCTGCTGCTGCTGCACCCACGCAGCTGATATGTGTTAAAATGCAGAAGTAAAATTCTTTTCCATTTGCTGCTGCTTTCTGCTTTTATATTAAAAGCGCACTTGCATGCACATCGAACAGATCCTGCAATGTATTGCTGCTGCTGAACAGCAGCAGCTCCGTGCCCCTGCTGCTGCTGCTGCTGCTGCAGCAGCGCCTTTCCCGTGCAGTCTCTCTGTGTGCAACCCTAGCCGCTGCAGCAGCTCCGACCGCTGCAGCCGCCGCTGCTGCACGCCACGCGCAACCCGCCGCCGCTGCTGCCGTGCTGCTGCTGCTGCTGCTGCTGCTGCTGCTGCGGCTGCTGCAGCAGCAAAGAATGCCGGTGGAGCTGGTGGCCCCCGCGCTGCTGGCCAAAGGCGCAGCGCTGCCCACTTCCTTCATGGGGGGCCCCGCAGGTGCAGCACTGGGCGCGGGTTTGGGAGCAGCAACAGGAGCAGCAAGTTTGACTCCCGCGGGCGGTAAGGGTTTAGGGTTTAGGGTTTAGGGTTTAGGGTTTGGGGTTTAGGGTTTGGGGTTTGCACCCCGCCCTGCAGCATCGGCTCCTCCCCAGCTCCCGACGCGCCTGCGCACCCCGCCGCTGCGCCCCAACGCCCCCCGCTGCTGCTGCTGCTGCTGCTGCTGCTGCTGCTGCTGCTGCGCAGGCCTTCTGAGCGGCGTGGCCAGCGCTGCAGCAGAAGGGGCCTCGGGGGGCCCCGTAATAGAGCAGTCTCTCTATTTGCTGCCGCTGCTGCCTTCTCTCTTCTTGGGGGCCCCCCTGGGGGCCCCCAGCAGCATCAAAAGACCCACTCAAAGGACCATTACCCTTTCCACAGCTCGCGAGAGGGGCCTCAAATACGCAGAGTTCCTCTAAACACTTTCTAGACAAAGGGGGCCCCCGGGGGCCCCTGGGGGCCCCGGGGGACCCCGGGGGCTTCGTGGGCTCTCGGGGGGCCCCTGGGGGCCCCCTGGGTCTTCGGGGGGCCCCCGGGGGGGCTCCAGGGGACTTGGGGGGCCCCCTGGGGGCCCCCAGGGCCTGTTGGTTCTCTTCTTGAGAAAGGGTATTTGGTGCTGTCCGGGATATTGGGGCCCCTCTGAATAAATGGGGGCCCCCAGGGGCCCCCGAGAGGGCTTTGGGGCCCCCCAGGGGCCCCGGGGGGCCCCCGGGGGCGCTGGGGGCTTGAGTCTGCTGCTGATTGGTCGCGGCAAAAAGGAAATAAAAAAGAAGAGGAGAAATGAATTGAAGGAGTTTCTCCGATCCGCGGCAGCAGAGCCTGAGGTGTACGTACACCTGAGAAGGCTTTGCTGCCTCTCTGCGCCTCTGGGGGCTGTTGCTGCTGCAGCGCAACAGCAGCAGCAGCGGGCTGCAGCAGCAGCAGCAGCAGCAGGGGACGCGGCGCAGCTGCTGCTGCGCCTCTTTTGTCCGTTTCATTTCAATTTGTTCGTCGGGCACTTTGAAGCCCGTTGCCGCAATTAACTTTTCCGTTTTGTTTGGCGTTTCAAACAAACCCCCGCAATTATTTAATACTTCATTTTGCGGGGCGGAGGCGCAGCAGCTGCTGCTGCTGCGGGGTTAGGCGCTGGAGCTGCTGCTGCAGCGCAGCAGCAGCTCAGGGTTGGGTTCCGTGTTAGTGTGCTGGGGAGGCTGACAACTCTTGATGTGTACTGTGGAAAGATAAGAAAGCTAAAAAAAGCAAATTGTTAAGCACGAAAATCTATTTACATTGCAGCTGCAGCAGCGCCGGCTTCCGAGTTTGTTGATTGGCTAACCCGGGCTGTACATACACCTCAGTGGCGAGAGAACAGCCGCCCTCGAAACGCGCGAGTCTATTCAGAAATGGAATTGTTTTGGGAAAGGAAAAGTTTTAAAAAAGAAATAAATAATTTAAAATGAGAATAAAGTATTTCCTGAGGTCTGCAAAAGAGCAGCTGGGCGACTGCAGAACTCTGGCGGTCACCGCTGTCTGTACACCGCAAGTACAGCTGCGCGGAACGGGAACATGGGACTTTTTGAAGCGATCAAAAGAATTAAATGATTTAATTCATTATTTGTTCAATTTGCAACACGAAGATCTTTTGTTTTTTCCGTTGGGGGTCCCGTTGCAGCCGCTGCTGCGGTGCTCACTGCGGCTTTCGGAGGCAGAGGCAGCAGCAGCAGCAGCACCAGCGAACCAGATCTGCTGCATTTTCGAATGAAATTTGAACAATTTGGATTTAAAATTTAATTATTTTCTCTTTTTTTCCACTTTCTGCAAACCCAGAACAACAGGGATGCCTGTCTAGAGCCCTGCAGCCGCTGGTGGGGCTCTTCTTCACAGCCTCCCGTGGCTGGCTGCGGCTCTCCGCGCCGCGCGGCCGTTCGTTTTATTTAGCATTAGCAGCAACAGCAGCAGCAGCAACAGCAGCAGCAGCAGCAGCCAAATGCTGCCTCT